GGGGGGGGGGGGGGGGGGGGCCTGCGGCAGACAGAGAGGGCCTGGTCCCCGGGCCGGGGTCCTTCGCTGACATGACAGGCGTCTTTTGTTGTTGTTGTTGTTTTAAACTTTATTACTTTTTTAATGTTTTATTTATTTCTGAGAGAGAGAGTGTGAGCAGGGGAGGGTCAGAGAGAGAGGGAGTCACAGACTGAAACAGGCTCCAGGCCCTGAGCTGTCAGCACAGAGCCTGACGCGGGGCTCGAACCCACGAACCGCGAGATCATGACCTGAGCCAAAGTCAGACGCTTAACCGACTGAGCCCGCCAGGCGCCCCCACAGGTGTTTGAAAAGCACTTTCCTGATAAAACTGTGATGGCACGACAGGGGACCCATCTGCCATCCCTCTGGGCTACAGGCTCCCGAAGGCTAAGGCCCGCGTCTCCTCCACAGATGCGCCACCGCACACATTTCCAGAGAGAACGAGCGATGGGGGTCAGGCTGGCCTCTCTCGGGGGGAGAGCAGCGCGGCCGTGAGGCCGCAGGACTTCTGCACACTCCCGTGGCCGGGCCTTCCCTTTAAAGATAGGGCTGCATCCGGACGGTGGCCTGTGAGACACAGAGGCTCTGGGGGCAGCTGGAGGCCACACAGGAGCTGTGGCTTCCGGGCACCAGGGGGCCCCTCGGTTAAGCGTCCGACTCTTAAGCGTCAGGTCGTGATCTCTCAGGTCCTGGGATCGAGACCCGCATCGGGCTCTGTGATGGCATGTGGAGCCTGCTTGGGATTCTCTCTCTCCCTCCCTCCCTCTCTGTCTCTCAAAATAAATAAATAAACATTAAAAAACAAACAAACAAACAAAAAAGGAGTGGCTTCTGGCAGAGGCAGCGTGCTGGCCCCAGCCTGGCACTTACCCGGAGACGCTGCTGCTCCCTGGGGGGTCGTCAGCGCTCGGCCTTGAGGGCACCTTGAGAGCGACAAAAGGAAGAAGCATCAGAAGGTTGTCCACGGCGCATCCTGCCCAAGGCTCTGGCCTCCTGTCGGCAGACGACGGCCACCACGTTCAACCCAGGACGAGACAGGCCAGCGCCGGGAAGTTTCCCTCCTGCTTTCTAGCTCCATCTGCTCATTTCACAGGTGGGAAGGCCAGGGCCGGGGCGGGGGTGACTTGGCAAAGCTCGCACAAAGCAACTCCCTGCCCCCTGGCCGCACCCCTGTCTCCCACCTCCAGGGGTCACCGTCCACCTCCCTCTCTGCTCGGCCAAGCTTTCTCGGTCCCAGAACAAGGGTGCGTAGACGCAGCACACATCTGTCTGTGGGCTTTCCCGGCAGTCGATGCCTCGCCCCTGTGGCTGCGCTGCCCTGTCCCTACAGCCACAGCTTTAGAATGAGCCTTAACCCCTGCTAAAGCGAGTCCTGCCACCTTGTTTGAAAAAGAGTCTTGGTGGGCGCCTGGGTGGCTCAGTCGGTTAAGCGTCTGACTTCGGCTCAGGTCATGATCTCACAGTTCGTGGGTTCGAGCCCTGCGTCGGGCTCTGTGCTGACAGCTCAGAGCCTGGAGCCTGCTTTGGATTCTGTGTCTCCCTCTCTCTCTGACCCTCCCCTGCTCACTCTGCCTCTCTCTCTCTCTCAGAAATAAGTAAAACATTAAAAAAAAAATAGAGTCTTGACTACTCGTGGTTCTTTGCATTTGCCTTTATATGTGTTGAGAACAACTTGTCATACTCCATGGGAAGAAAACATCTTGGGGATTTTGTTGGGTTTATATTAAATGATAGATCATTTGGAGGGAACTGATATCTTCTCCATTCACAGTCAACAGCAATGCTATGATCAATGTCATCTTTTTTCTTTTTCTTTTCTTTTTAAATTTATTTAAATAATTCTTTTTTGAGGGAAAGACCACGACTGCAGGCAAGAGAGGAGGGGCAGAGGGAGAGAATCTCAGGCAGGCCCTGCGATCAGCACAGAGCCTGATGTGGGGCTTGATCTCATGACCATAAGATCAAGACCCAAGCTGAAATCGAGGTTATGATGCTTATCCAACTGAACCACCCAGTTGCTCCATCAACATCATCTTTTCTTAAATGTTTGTTAATTTTGAGAGAGAGAGAGAGAGAGAGAGCAGGGGAGGAGAAGAGAGAGAGAGGGAGACACAGAATCCAAAGCAGGCTCCCGGCTCTGAGCTGTCAGCACAGAGCCCAACAGAGTTCGAACTCACGAACCAAACCGTGAGATCATGACCTGAGCTGAAGTCAGATGCTCAACCAACTGAGCCACGCAGACTCCCCTATGTCATCTCTTTTAAATAAAATTTTATTTTGTCTCTCTTGTTGCAGAAATGTAACAGAAATTTACATATTGGTGGGGGGAGGGGGGTCAGTGATCTTGCCAATTCACATATTAATTTTAATAATCTATTTACAGATTCTTTTTGTATTGCTTTTGTTCCCATTCCCATTCTCTGGACATAATGGCCATTTGATTTCCCCCTAACCTTTCTGTACTTCTGATATTACATGAAAAGAGGTGATGATAATAGGCATCTTTGTCTTGCTCCCTTATTGAAAAGGAAAGTTTCTATTGTTCTACACCATAACATCTGCTGTGGTTTTTTCTGCAGCATCCTTGATCAGACCCTCATCTGGCTGCTATGCTCTGGGTCTTTTCTCCAGCTCTGTCTTCCAGCTCGCCGAGCTTCTCTTTGTGTCTGTCTAATCTCCTGCTAACCCAGACCTCGGGACCTTTAACTTTGTTTATTCCAGCCTCCATTTCTGCAAGTTCTGTTTGGTTCTTTCTCAAATATACTCGGTCACTTTCTCTAGGCCCTTATCCTTTGTAGGTATTTTCTTTAAACAGAATAAACATAAATTGATTATAATCTGTGCCTGGTGATCCAAATACCTGAAGTCTTCATTGATCTATATTTGTTGACTATTACTTTTTAAAGATTTTATTATGGGGGCACCTGGGTGGCTCAGTTGGTTGCACATCCCTTCGACTCTTGATTTTGGTTCAAGTCATCAACCCAGAGTCCTGAAATTAAGCCCCACACTGGGCTCCGTGCTAAGCGTGGAGCCTGGTTAATATTCTTTCTTTCCCTCTGCCCCTCTCTTGTGCTCATACAAACACCCTCTCTTTTCTCTCAAATAAATAAAATGAAAACAATTAATTTTATTTTTAAGTAATCTCAACACCCAATGTGGGGCTCGAACTTACAACCCCGAGATCAAGAGTTATCCTCTCCACCAACTGAGGCAGCCAGGTGCCCCTTCTGACTATTATTTCTTCTGGTTTCACTGGGCCTTTTGCATAGTTGATTATTTTATTTATTTATTTATTTATTTATTTATTTATTTAGTGAGAGAGCGAGCGGAAGCAGGGGAGGAACAGAGAGAAAGAGAGAGAGAGGGACAGAGGATCCGAAGTGGGCTCTGCACTAACAGCAGAGAACCTGACGTAGGGCTCAAACTCATGAACTGTGAGATCATGATCTGAGCCAAAATCAAGGGCCAGATGCTTAACCGACTGAGCCACCCGGGCACCCCTGGTTTTCCATGTGAAAAGCAAGCTTTCTGTGAGATAGTTTAAGGTAATTCCAAAGTGCCTGGCACTTAGTAAGTTCTCAGTAAGTGTCAGCTATTACCATTTCTATCATCATCGGACCCATGCTGTATACGACACTGCCCTCTAGTGATCAACCAATTAGCCCTCCCCAGCAAGAGTATCACCTCTCCCAAGGTTACAGCTCTCCAAGCTGGGCACACAATAAACGCAAAGTAATTACCAAATTAAGTTGTATGTCAAGTTACTGGGTTGCTATAACGTTGAGTTTAAAATCTGCACAGCAGTCGGCACAGTAGAGTAAAAACAGCATAATACAGAAAAGGGGTCAAGCCCCCGTTCTGCCATTGAATAATGATATGCCTTTGGGTGGACTGTGAGGCTTTTTGGGCCTGTGTACCCATCTGCATAATGGGGACTTACCCGCCAGGGCTGCTGTGAGATGAGAGATTATCCACCAGCTCATCCTCAGCGTAACACCCACCCTCGAGATGACCAGTAAGTATCTGAACGAGCGTCCAGTCTAGAGTAACGCCTGACAAAGCCCCGCTGGAAGGTGACCGGGGCGCATGATGAGTTAGCCCAGAGAATGTCTTGGTCTTCAAGGCGGAAGGAGAGAGGCTCCAGAACACGTTGTTCCCTGAGAAATGAGTTCTGACAAGTTTCTTGGGAAACGTTCGCGGTGGGAGGTGGAAGGAAGCGCACACAGGGTCAGTCCCTCCTACGCTGCGCTGTGCGGGCAGCAGTGGGAGCGCAGCCCGCTTCAATGCGCTGTCCGGAGACGGCCGTTCTGCCTGCCCAGCACCGTCTGCAGGTGGCCACATGGTCAAGGTGCACGGCCCCCGTGCAGGGGACCCCGGGGAGCCCGCCGCGGCAGCCGGCGACGGGAGATCTTCCTACCGCAGAGCCAATGTCGTGGCCCATTTCTCTGAAAACTTATTTTTGCCTCTGGGGGGTGGAGCAAAGACAGAGGACGGGAAGTGACACACGCACTCACACACACGCACTTCCCTCCCCTGCCTCCTGAATCCCCCCATTCCTTCTGAGCAGCTCAGACTGTCCGAATGCTCTTTTTAGTTTTAAAAAATAAAGTTTTATTGCGATAAAATACACGTAGCCTAACATTTACCATCTTAACCATTTTTAGGTGTACGCTTCAGCATTAAGTACCTTCAGACTGTTGTGCAAACAGTCTCTGAGAGCTCTGTCCATCCTGCACAACAGAAACTCGGTCCCCGTTAAACGACTCCCCGCCCCCGTGCGCCCCCCCACACCCCAAGCCCTGGGAAGCCACCCCTTCTATTGTCCATGAATCTGAGTGGACCCTTCATCTAAGTGGAATCGCACAGTATTTGTCCTTTCCCATCTTGCTTATTTCAGTTGACGTGTCTTTGCGTTTCAGCCGCGCTGTAGCACGTGCCATGATTTCCTTCCTTTTCAAGGCTGAATAATACCCTGCAGTGGCACGCGCCGTGTTTTGTCGCTGCGATCGTCCGTCGGTTGCTTGCACCTTTTGGCTGCTGTGAATAACGCTCTTGTGAACCTGGGTGCGCAGAGATCTCTTCCAGGCCCCGCTTCCGATTCCCGTGGGCACGTACGAAAGTTCTCGCTTATAGCGATACCAGCCAGCCTCCCTTCAGCCTCCGGTCACCGGGCCCCCTTGCATGCCCGGGACGCCAACCATCCTTGGGCTGCTTTTTATGATGTCATCCTGTTCTCTCTTGTCAGTTTCTGTGGGAACCAGCTTCTGTTGTCTCCAGCTTTGGCCTTTCCCTTGACCCCCAGACTGTGTTGTGGGTTGTGACGAATGCAGTTTCTCCCATCAGGAGGGCGACCGAGGGTCAAACCTTCGCGTGATCAGCCTGTCTCCACTTCGCCGCTGCCTTCCCTACCCCTGACGGGGACATGCTGCTGGCCACCAGCCCGCCCTCCGTGAGCCGCACACCTACAGAGGGGGTCGGAAGGAAGGTCATACTCTTGCTTTTGTAATTTCCCTGATGGCTCGACTCTGTTCCATCTGCGTAACGTGTGCTGATGCGTCTTCCTGTGCCTGCGTTTTGAACGCAGGGTCCTTTCCTGGCCAGCTTTTAACTTGACTGTCTCAGATGCGGAATGTGTTAGATGCCCTTCCAGAAACGCAGCTTTGTTGAAGCGGCCGGGGACTTGGATGAAAAGCAAAGACACGGCGGCCCCTGCCGGCCGCTCCTGACCTAGTGCAGACACAAGTTCTCAAAGCCTGCCAGCTGGCCGCCTGGGCCAGACACACCCCAGACCCTGGGGGGGGGGGGTGTGGGAACCGGGCTGAGCTTGGGGGAGCGTGTGAGTGTGTAAGGGCGGGCGGGGGATGTGTCATCACCCGAGATCTTACAGAGCCTTTGAAGCAGCCAGAGCTGCCAGAGAAGC